AAAGTGAGATGATGGTAGTTTGAAGTCAGAAGNAATAAATTGCTCATAAAATTAATATTTACTAAAATCCCCAGTAAATGAAATCACTTTCTTTATACCCATTTGTAGAAGGTAGCGATAGCAAAGCAATCCTTTACTATTATTGTGCATTGCATTTGTTCAATTGAAATTGTCCTTGTAGCGGATTGCTACGCTAGTAAAGCCTGACTGACTCAGAAATGTCTATAGCAGATCCTCCTACATCTAGCTAGACTCCCAGAACCAGCTAAGCTATCGCCCAACTATAAAGGAAACAGACGTGTAGCACGGAGCACGTTTATTCAGTGAGTAAATTGCGGATAAAGTGTACATGTAAGGGCCTAATCATGATCAGGATGGCTGATTAGGTTAAACAAACAGAGGTTAATGATTGGTCACTGTTTTTACGGTCGCTGCACACAGAGTTGTACGGCCGCATCTCCCAATCCTGGTGTGCAGGCATGCGATAACGTGTCCCACATCCTAGTCTAGCATTAAAATTTCGAATTTTGCCAGGAATGCCTACCGTTAACGATATTTCAACTCGAAATAGAACTCACTGATCTTTCGAATATTTATTTATTTATATCAAATGGCAGACGTTTTGACAGTTATCATTAGCCCTTTAGTTGACTTCAGGCTTCGAAGAGGGGATGGAACATCAAAGTGAAAAAAATGTCGAGTTGATTGGGGGGGGGGAGCAGAACAGTGTTTCAGAGATGTAAAAGAGACGGACACAAAGGTAGAAAAAAGGTGATGTGAGTACTGTGATAGTAGTCGGATAAGACATAAAGTGAGATGATGGTAGTTTGAAGTATACAGTGGGGTGATGGTAGTTTGAAGTGAGAAGTCAACTACCAGTCAATAGACTTTTTTCCGCATAAGTATACGTTGCCCAGGGTGCACCACATGGAGGTTGTAAGTACACGTTGCCCAGGGTGCACCACGTGGAGGTATGCCGTTTGAGTATACGTTGCCCATTGGTTTATAGACTTGTTTGCCGTATGAGTATACGTTGCCCGTCAATGGGGTGATGGTAGTTTGAAGTGAGAAGTCAACTGCCACAATGGGGTCATGGTAGTTTGAAGTCAGAAGTCAACTGCCAGTTAATAGACTTTTTTGCCGTATGAGTATACGTTGCCCAGCGTGCACCACGTGGAGGTAAGTCTATCGCACACCCCATCTTTCGAATATTGATTTATCATGAAGACTGAACTCCAATGATTTCCAAACTTGCTCTCTTGATCATCACTAAACTCTTAACCCTAATTATTTCGACCACACAGCGACTTCAGATGAGTCAATTAAGCAAGGATGCTAAAGAAAGCCTGTAGGTGAACTATTAAATGAAACGGCTAATCGATTAACTCGTCTAGACATGACAAATAAGGATTTGAGCCAAGTGGGTGCAAAAGCCAAAAATCAACCAATTTTCGTAAAGAATATGCTCAAAAGTGTTTTTTGCAAAAATATATTGATTTATCGCTCAAAGCTTAATTCCGAAAGCTGTTGACAGATTGGCATTTAAATGTATCATCGCTAACGCGTGCCTTTACAAATAGTTATAAAGATTGTGCGCCTTTGTCTATTCCATAATTAATTACTCACTTGCTAGACTTATCACATACTTTCACAACTAGTCATCGTTAAGCAAATAGCTGTGCTTTATTATAGCATTAAACACTGCTTTTAAAATTCGAAGATGCCCTTCTTTTTGACCAATGCCTCATTCAAAACTACTTAACTAATTGTTGTTGTCAACCCAACACTGGCGTCGTTGACTTCATTCTGTAAATAACATTTCGTTTTTCGAACGGAAATAATGAAAAATGTCATTTATCAAGATTTTGAAAGCAGCGAGACTCAAAGCAAAGTTTTCAAAAGAGCAAAAGTGATGGGATTCTCTTCAGACTTGTCTGCTTCTAAGATTAAATTTCACTTATCATTATCGCATTCCACTAAATTTCCCTACCCTCCCCCCACACAAAGCCTGAAGTGGCATGAAAAGGGCTGTCTTTTGGTATGGCACCACATGTTGTTAACAAACTCAAAGGCAATTTGCGAGGGATCGTGTGTATTGCACGTGCGAGGTTCAAGACAGCTTGCAAATGTACTATCATTTCGAGAGACTCCCCCAAATGGAAGGCTGTCACATTAAATTGGCCATTAAAATTTGGTAATATAATAAGATCAAGGGCGTCGAATGATGCTAATGGTAGAGAATTGAACTTTGAGCCACTTTAACGAATGAATGTCCTATTCTCTGAACTGTTCTGCAACTGTAAGACCGTTAGAACATGAAATAGTGATAAAATCTACGTGGAATTTTCAAGATAAATGAGCTCCAAACTACCGTTCTTTAAAAAAATAGGCTTAGTACCTGAATGTGTCTCCTGAGTACCTTTTAGTGATGTTTAGACAACGAAATGCTGGAAGAAAATCTTAATTTTACTCGCTTTTTAAAAATTTATGAGTGGTTGACAAAAAGACTTGCCTAATGTTCATGATCATCAGGGCCTGCTGAGAATAGGCTTGAGGTTCATTCAACTCTGCTCCTTTGTCTGGAATTATGATAGTTTTATATAAATAAACCTCTAGTGTCATAATACCGAGGCTGTTTACAACAACTTTCACGAGAGTGACCAAACGAATAAATAGAACGCTTATTTTGGGAATCTTATGCAATCAACTGCTTCATATATGTATACGAAATAAAGCTAAATAGCCTCTGCAGCAAAAGATTGAAATTGGTCTATATTGAATTATTTGTTAATAGACATTATATTAATCTACTATTATTACTGACCATTACTTAAGTTTAAAAAGTACTTCGTAAATTAAAAACTTTAAAAGAAACTGAAGGTTGTAATAATTTGATACAATTGAACTTATAATTTCGAACTAAAATTATAAATATGGCTGATAGAATCTTTTTAAAATGAACTGTGGGAAATGCTAGAACCTGCTTCTCTAAGTGCGCTTTCAATTACCTTGGGCATTCAATGATAATTATAATGGTGTGTGCGATAGACTAACCTCCACGTGGTGCACCCTGGGCAATGTATACTCATACGGCAAAAAAGTCTATAAACCGGCATTTGACTTCTGACTTCAAACTACCATCACCCAACTGTATGTCATATTCAACTACCTCCACAGTACTCACCCCACCTTTTTTCTACCTTTTCTACCTTCGCCTTTGAAACACTCTTCTGTTCCCCCCCCCCCCTAACTCTCGACATTTTTCACTTTGATGTTCCTCCTCCCCTCTGTGAAGCTTGAAGTCAACTAAAGGGCTAATGATAACCATCAAAACGCTTGCCATTTGAAATAAATAAATGATAATAATAATAAAGAAATAAATTTTATTACTGCCTTTTGGCTTAGCAATGTAACTTTGATTTCAAGAGCAAACAAGAAAGTAACCATTTTCGACGTAGTATTTGTCACATGATGTGTTCGAAGTTCTTAGTATTGCTTCATGACCTTATGTTTCTGCATTGGCCGATTGAAACCAAGATTTGGTTCCAATGTCTCAGCGCGCGAAATCTGAGAGCGGGAATATAGTAGAAGATTACAAATGGTATTGCAGCTGGATGAATAAGAAGAAGTGCCTGAGCGATTTTGTGACAAATGTCATTTTGCTTATGCGATGTAAGTCCGATAGCACTGACAAATTGATAAGTAGTATCGAAAGAAAATGCAATGGTGTATGTAAAAGTCATGGGTACAATGCACATTGATGACGTTGACCAACCGCACTCCTTTTCATATGCTTGTGTCATCTTCAACGTGTCATCTTTGAAATGTAAAATGTTGAGAGTATCGTAAAAAGACTCTTTGGGTGTGTTTTTAATCCATTTGATTATATTCATACTACAAATGGCCAGTATCATTGAATTAATAATAAAAACTTGGGAGAAAAATATGTAAACTTGAGCATAGACAAGTTCAGATCCCCAATCACTATTCAGTTTCTTTCCACATTGACACCCAACCCCATAGAACTGAACTGAGACTATTTGAGGAAACGTTATCATAACGCTGTAAATGGTCAGTCCGGCCACATAGATGAGGTCAATGTTTGCGCTAGTAGCGAAAGAGAACTGCAGATGCTCCGCGATTTGCATCGTTCGGTAGGCGGCAAAATAAATCAATGCATGAGCCCCAACTATTGAAAATATCCAGTAAACGAATCTGCTTTCCCAAACACCACATATGAAGAAATCAAGTCCGTAGATCCCAGTTTCAATTGAAGGTGGACAAATATCATCGATAAAATTGATTAAAAGCTTAAGAAATGCACAAATAACAACAGTCCGAAGCATGAGAAGGCTGGTTCTGGTTTTTCCATCCAATTGACAGAGTAGAAAAAAGGCTAAAATGTTAGGAATCATTCCGATCCACTCAATAGCTATCATGGTAAAGTCGAGAACGTTCCAGTCCTGTTGTGAAACAATGCCTTCCCAAGTGCAGTTCATTTGGTCTGGGGAAAAAGCCTTTTTCACAAATGAGACAAGTTATCTTTAAATTTGCATTTTTATTTCGACTATGAAGTGTCACTGCCCAGAGGGGGGGAGGGAGGATAATTATTGTTTGGCAGTATAGTCAGATTAAATTTCAACTTGTCACATCTCCATTCAACTCGAAGTCTTAGCTCTTTGTAAGGACTATTCAAATTACTGTCTAGTTGGGGGTAAACATCTTCTAAAAGTAAAAATCATTTTTGTTGCAATTTTAACCACATAATACAAAACAATTATCTCGAAAAAGCTGTTTGATTTGTTTACTTATCCATGGTTATAGAGCGTTTATAAAGTCACTCAGTATTATTTTATCCTTAGATAATTACTTTATCATCATTTCAAAGGTGTATTAAATACTTGTCATAGACAGGATTTTAAGAATTCTATATTGACTTATCTGTTTTGAGTTAAAGTAAAAAAGGTCATAATATTTTATATAAAGTTAAGCTGTGGCCAGGTTGCTAATACTAAAATGCTCCATTAGAATTGGGTCGATTATTTTCCAAAGAAATAAATGAGAAGTAGGAAAAGCAGAAGACAATTTGCTAACTCATGCTAAAAGCCTTGCTATATTTTTGGTTTGTGGGGAACACAACGCCAGAATGGCTGGAATAAAGAATTCATGTACATTCAAATTACGAGGGCAATGAAACATTGCAAGAGCTATTACAATCACTCTAAGAGGTCATGAATGCAGAGACCTCTCGATCATTACATGGTTATCATACCAGAAAGTGTACAGAATGCCTATGCTCTGAACAGTCAAAACAACGACACCACACACACCTACACCGCAACCCAATACAAAATATCACCTAAATAATCGTATTCCTCCACATAAGTCTGTTTGCCCTATAACTTACTGGTAGCTTAGCTAATCTTGGGAGTAGTCCCAAACTAGGATAATCTGCTGAGATTACGGAGTATATGTCAATGCTTGTCACTACATGCGGTAAAGGGTGATAGCATAATCACGATTTTGTTTTGTTCTGTCAGGTTCGAATGTCTGTTATGTGTAGTGGCAAGCTCCTAATCATAGATCTGAAGTAATCCCTTGAATTACATAATCCTCTGATTAAAACTTTACTAATTTTATCCACAACCATCTTTGGGACACATTTACATCATTCTGAAGTTTTTTATATCCCATATTGCATTTCACTATGTGCTTACATTGTCGTGAATAACTTCGAACACTTATACTGAACCACAAAGTGATACCTCAAGTTCATTGTAATTAGCAATACCATGTCTCTGCTTATCACAATTATCGAAGAATTGGACCTTTCCACCGCTTCAATTTGTTTTACCCGAATGAACTAAAAGTAACATTTTCTAAAACCTATTATTTGCATATGGTTAATAATTTATTTCTTGGCTTTCAAATCCCACATCTCTTAACTGACCTTAATTAGAACGAAATTAGCTACTTTGCTCTTTAAGATTACAAATAATGCATAATCACCTATTGATGCGGAAACAAGCGTTTTGTCTTGGACTTAGTGATCTAAGTCGGTATACACTGTGGCCTTGTAGGATGTTATTTATCCACTGTAAATTTCGAAATGAATTTAATGATCTGTCACGGGACCCAGGTAGAAGTGATTCTTGCTTGCTAAAATGACTGAAGACCTAAAAAACGTGTTGACTATAATTGAATCGTAAAGTGTTCCTCAGCCGTGTGACATAATATTAAGATCGTGTGTTTTAAATAATGTAAATATAAATGTTCCTAAATAAGTAAAACAAATAGGCAGGATCAATATCAAATAATAAATATAGTACTATTATATGCTGTATATTATATTATTGAATACTAATGTCTGTTTAATGGTCAGGTATATTGAAACTGTCCATAATTGATATTGAATTCAAGAATGGTGACGCATTTAAAAAGGAAAACAAAAGACATAAAATTGTATAAATATTTATTTAAAATAATGAATCCATTTAAGCAAAAATAAATGAATTTAAATTGGTTATGTTTTTCTATGAAAATTTGTCCTTGATTTGTAGAGTCAAGGTAGGTGCATTTTACGAAGCAACGATGCTTATGTATCTGCTTTTGTTTATTCAATATATGATTACGAGTCATGCGGATCGCATTACTCTAAATGCTCTACCTTCGGTATTTCCAAAAAATGGATCCAAATTGCATCTGATTTGTCAGCTTCACGAAAAAAATAGATTTAACATTATGTGGAAACGAGACGGCAAAAATGTGGGGGAAAACTGCATTGCTTACAAAACCATTAATGCTGCCAGGCAAAATTGCTACAGTAATGAAACTGTAATTGAGTGGATAATTGATCCAGTTGTCTACGACATTCGAGGTCGGTGGTCATGTTCTCACGGGAAAGATATTGCGTCTATCGATATTGAAGTTAATGGTACTGGACCATTTTTAATATATTTTAATTATTTTGACTAGTTGATATAAAGCCATTCTTTATATTCAGTTCCCCAGAAGTTACATCCACTGAAGATTGAATCGCTTCAAAACAGAAATCAACCTGCTTCCGATGCCATTTTGAGTCCTGTTTCGATAGAAGAATATCCTCTTGCAGCTGGAACACAATCCCATCCGTTTGATCTTACTAAAAGCCAACCATATGGAGTTAGGAGTATTGTTTTCGAGTGTTCTTCATTTTGTGCTTCTGAAACACGTCAGCTTGTATGGACTTCCTTTAATGGTGTAAGTCAGATGTTTCCTTAATTTTTTGCTTGTTGTTTTATTGGGCTTTTCTATTTGTTATTTTTAGACTATGTTCCGAAAATATCCATTAAAACGAACTTCTTACGAAGAAGGGGCTAACTGTCCAGGAGATCTGACTTCTGCCAGAAGTAGAGCTCTCATCACTTGTAGATATGGTAATCAACAGTCAAGCAAATGGGAAACTGAATCACCAGTTTCTGTTGATTTAAAGCTCTCTTTAGTTGGTTTGAACATCGTCTACTGCTCTACCGATCAGCCAGCCCGCATCTCTAACAATGGAGATTATGCCTGCACAAATGGATTCCTCAACGATAGCTCTAATACTGCATGTGCTTACGTTCTTTGCGATGGTAAGTAGCTATTACTATGTAAAGTTAATTAAGGTTTTTTGGTGCTTTTACTCATGTTCGCTTATAACACATTATCAATCCTTATGTATGTATGCACCCCTTTCAATATTTCCGATAAGACTATGAAAATTTTTTTATTTTGAATTTGACTTTTGTGATTTTTAAGCTGGTCAATATTGATTTATTTTGATAAATACCTTTATTCCTTCTTCATTTCATCTCAGATACACTTTGTATTAATTAAAAATAAGTTATACCCAGTAATATGGAAAAAGTTTTTGAAATATTATTGAAATGTTCTTACGTTTAGTGCACCTCATAATTAAATTCTGTTCTTCTGTAAACCAGTGCTTAAGATGCGAATAATTCAGTTTAATGACTCATTTAAACGACTATCAAACCATAGGTCTTCCCGTCGGTTCACATTCAGTAATGCTGATAGTCAACTGCATTAAATAATTTTACCCAACTGGTGGATGATAAAAGTGCTTTTGAGTTTCCAAATCAACTTCCCGATTTACTTCCTGAAATGATGCTAGCTCTACTTTTACTCTAGCGCTTATATGTTCGATCGGTTAATGCTTCCTTAATCAGCCTCTAACTTCCGTATGCGTTGCAACTATAGAAAATTACATTTTCGTTTACTTTTTATTTTTACTCCATCTAAGCCTTGTTCAGTCTTTGCATACTCATTAATATGGATACTTTAGAAGACTATCGCTGATTGTTTCTTGAGCTCAAAGCAATTATCAGCTCTCAGAGCTTTAGCGAATGAACGAAGCAACTTTCCTTAACTGAAAGCCAAATATGAAATTAAAATTGATTTCTTTGAGTTGGGTTTACAAGTATCAAATTAGTAGCTTCATATCGAAAAAATCTTAACCTAGATAAAGGAAATCTAGCAAGGGAATAGAGAGCAGGTATTAACTACTTTTAGTAATAAAGCGGAAAAGAAGAAAATAATCATCTTTTTCCTATCGTCGCTTCTAATACTTTTGTTTTTTCACGATTTACGTTTGCTTAATAAGCATGTTCTCACTACTTAGAGTGAGTCCATTTTGTTCAACTTTCTCATTGTCCGGGCTTCCTGTTCAGACCCGTTTATTAGCTGTGCGACCGCTTGAGCACGGACTCACTGGAATACGTTGGGTCACCTCCTGCCTTTATCCGTCGTGAAAACAAAGACTAAGCCTTTGAAAGGTGCTGGGGGGGGGGGGTTTGGGGCAGCTGGCTTGCACACCCTCACATCAACAATAGAAACATTTGCAGCTGCTCTTTACTGCTGTTAATCTGAAGATAGGAGTTTATCTAATTAGTTAAATGAAAAATGGCTTATGGTCTATTCAAAAACCTTGAAAGAAAACATTATTTGAGCATCGTGCTTGGCGTATATAGCTTATACGTAATTCCCAAAAAGATTAGTTATATGCTTTGCAGTCTCTTCCTCTCATTAATGTCTATCTGGTCACCCAAACGTGATGATTACTGTTTCTTTCGCAATCCAAATGGATTATTTTAATGTTATACATGTCTCTATTTTTTTTATAAAATTAACTATTGATCAAATAGCTCCATTGTTTTGCGATTATATTACGGATGTATAGAATGAGCACTTATAGGGACTTCATGGCTAGTTAGTAGTCACGCATGTCCATGCTTACCATTGGTGACTACAAGAGTAAATTGAGGCAGTCGATAGGCTCGACAATCTGAGTCTGTCTGAATGTACTCAGGTAAGAATTATGAAGCATGGTGTTTAGGAGATTTGATTAATAAAGTAAATTATGATTAGCAAGGGCAATCAAAGCCGAAACCTGAGAAGTCATTTTTAATTGAAGCTAAACTTATTGCTCTCTTAGCATGAAGTAGTGCTATCACACTAACTGATTAGTTGATATTCCAGAAACTAGATTTCCGGAACGTATATATGGACCTCGTTTAGGTTTGTATAAGGAAAATGGTATTAAGAAAATAAGTGCGAAATTAAGAGGCTATAGATTCGGTTCTTGCAGTTACTTTGTTGCCCAACTCCAAACATCTTGGTAAAATGTCTGGTGGGGAGGGGGGGGGGGGGGAGATTGAGACTTGTTTTGACACTTTTTTCAGGAGTTTTATTCGATTGATTAGTTAGTTGCATTATTACTTCGTTCAACGGCATGGATTTAAAAATCTCTCATTGTAATGAACCAACTCAATGTGTGGCCTTCAGCGATCGCAATTAGAACAGGCTGCGCTCTAGACATTTTTTTCAAATGGAAGGCCCTTTGATATCTATCATTAGCCCTTTAGCTGACTTCGGGCTTCACAGAGGAGTCATCATTAGCCATTTAGCTGATTTCGGGCTTCACAGAGGGATAGAAACATCAAAGTGAGAAAAATTCGAGAGGGAGAACAGAGCATCACAGTGAGAAAAATTCGAGAGGGGGGAAAGAAGAGTGATTCAAGATGTAAAAGTGAAAGATAGTCACATAGGCAGATAGGAAAGGTAAGATGGTACTGTGGAAGTTGTCGAATATGACATCGAGTGGGGTCATGTTAGTTTGAAGTCAGAAGTCAACTGCCG